GTCAGTCGGGTCCGACAATACATCGCAGCCGACTGGAAGTTACACCACGACAACGCCCCGGCTCACACCGCCTTTCTTGTGAACAGCTACCTGACCAAGGCCGGCATCTCAACGCTTCCGCAGCCGCCCTACAGCCCAGATGTGCCTCCCCCCGGACTTTTTTTTGTTTCCTCGCCTGAAAAAACCGATGAAAGGCAAGCCTTTTGAGACGACAGAGGGGATCCAAGCAGCATGCACCGCGGCTCTCAAGGCTATTCCGGAGAATGCCTTCCGTGACGCCTTCAATGCTTGGAAATCGCACTGGCAGCGCTTCATCGACGCAGAAGGAGCCTATTTTGAAAGTTTTGGCTCAATATTTTTTTTAAATCGACTCAGTCCTATTACTTTCCGGACAAACCCTGTATAGTAATTCTTGGTGACATCAATGTTGATCTTTTAAATCATGACAATCCTTTGAGCAACTGTTTCGATAGCTTCAATTTTGATCTTTTATTAAGTCAGCCGACTCGTGTAACTCAGTTTAGCTCAACTCTAATAGACCCCATTTTTTTAGCAATTCAAACAGTGTCGTAAAATCAGGAGTTCTTAATGCTGATCTTGACAAGTTAGTTTTCTGTGCAGTTGTTCTGAATCTTCCTAAATTCGAACCCAGTAACTTTTAGAGATAAAAAAAAATATTGATGTTATTAATTTCAAGGGCGACTTACGTCATGTTGGACTTGATCGTATCTTTTACTTTATCGATGTTGATGACAAAGTAAGTTGTCTATCTAGTTGCGTAAACAAATATGTGATATCCACGCGCCATTACGAACTGCTCGTGTAACAATACCGGCTGCTCCATGGATAACATCGAACCTGAGATGCATTTTTAAGGAACGCGACAAAGCTCTGTTGAATTTCCCTCATGACGCATCTGACGTGAACTGGTCGACGTACAAAGGTATGCGGAAATACGCATTTACTTCCTTCCGTATGGAGAAGAGGGCCTACCTTTCTATATATGGTGATACTAGTTCACGATCAGCATGGAAAACACTTAGATCTATGAATGTCTGTCAACAGAAACGTGTTGACTTACCGTTTAATCTGCTAGATCCCCGTGAAGTCAACGAATACTGTTTAAGTACTTTTATACCTGCCGATGAAAACCTCAAAGTAGTACAATCCACCGGCAACAGCTACAGCAACACACGCTTTGATACCGACGTGTCATTTCATTTTCGTCTGGTAACCCCTCGTGAAGTTATGGATGCAGCCTTGTCTATCAAGTCTGAAGTAGCGGGTTGTCATGGCATCACTTTAACTATGCTAGGCGAATGCCTGCATGAAATACTTGATCACATCACGCATATTGTTGATATTTGCTTAGAGAGGGACGTTTTCCCATCCAACTGGAAGGAGGCAATAGTCACACCTCTGGCCATAATCCGCCTGAACATGCCATCTTATGTTTCTTGTCGAAAGTCTTGGAGAAGATAGTATACCAATAGCTTGTTGAGTATTTTGCTAATAATATTTTATTTCCAGTACATCAATCTGGTTTTCGTGAAGGTCACAGTACGACTACTGCACTACTAGATCTTGCAGATGAGATACTTTACAACCTTGATAACAAATCCGGCAGGCTTATTACCTAACTTCCAACCGACCGTCAACCGACTCAAGTTGGTCGATAGTTGCTGTCAAACGAAAATTTCGTATTATGTATCAGTCAGTGCGTTTCAATCGCCGACCGGCTACGGTGGCGCCTCTATGGAGCAACTGGTGAACGAAAAGTGCATTCTTTTGTTAGAAGTATCAAAAAATTGGTATTCCCTAACTCATTGACAGCGACCCAACAGCAACTTACTAGCGATTTGAACTGTCAAATTAACAACTGCTCTGTGGTAGTCGACTAGTCGGTCGCTAGTCGGTTGCTAGTGTTTTGTTTGGATAACATTGTCAAAACTATTCATTTTTTTAACAAGAAAGGTAAGTATGACAAGTTCAAATAAGGAATAAAATAGCTTGACGAGTCTAAGAAGTGATTGTATGCTCCCAATTTGTATTTTCAGCAATTTTGATTCTCTGGATGGCTCGTGCATTTTTACTTATGGAAGCATTGGAAAGCGAAAGAATGCACGATCAAAGACGGCAAACTTCTCGCCTACGACGTATTTTTCAGTATCTATGACTTGAAGTTCATGATGATTATCAAATAAGCTTACTTGCACCTTCCTATCACAGTATAGAAACATATTGGTTTTAGGTATTAGCAGCACTTCTGGTGCTAGCCACTGGTTCCTGCCAGAAACATATTGGCATGGGTTATTTACATGGGTTCAGTCAACCCAGTGTATCCAAAGCACTAAGGGAAATGGTGGATGCATTAAATCATCCAGACATTCTATCTAAGCATATTTACTTCCCTCAAACACTGTTAGAGATTATAGTAATTATATTGCCATGCATATTAAGCAAGTGAGATTGCATATCAAAATTAAATGGTGGATCATTAACTGAGAAACCAATGAGTTCAGCTACATCAAAAAGTTTCAACACATGGAAGTTTACATTACCTGATAAAAATTTCATCGCTGTGGAAGTTGAAATTTCCTATTAACAAGAGTAATAAGTCAATATTCATCGATCCTAAGATCAATACCTCAGACTCATTATCTGTAAGGTTAACAATACAGCAACAAATCTGAGTCTTAATATTTCACATATTTTAGGCAACATACCGGTATCAGCACTAATAAATATTTACTTTGTTTTTTTTTACTTTAGTTGTAATTATTGTTATATGCCTGCTTGAAGATGAGTAATAATGAAAGATATATTTTTACAGGTGACTCTGGACACATCCATTAAGAATCGGTCTTACCAGAAATACCATAGAGTGATGCACAGGAGTATTAATGTTTGTATTATCTACTGTATCGAACATTTTAAATTTCCATGAAATAATATTCATTGTCATATGCTTAATGATAGCTCTGTTTTAAAAAGGTTTTATCAACCACTGTAAAGAAAAAGTTAATGGCTATAGAATTAGTTTTCTAGGAAGGTTTATTTTCACGTGTCCATATTCAATCATATCTATTTTAGAGGATTTGAAACAAGCCTAAAAGTATGCTTTGAGTGAAGATCAAGAAAATTTGCAAAATGCATTTGTAACAAAAAGCACTGCCTTTTTAAAATATATACGTAGTTATAAAACTGCCGACTTTTTTGTAATAGAACCCACAACTTTTTTATCAATTCAAGCATTAATGGTACTAAATACAATCGTAAAAATTTCAAAAAAATTCGTTTTCCACAATCACTCAAACAGGCTAGAACTTCGCCGCTTGTGAAGATTAGTTCTAATCGCTAAATGTATTTCTAATGGGGACCAATTCTCTTTAGAAAATGTATCAAATGCATTTCTACAAATACAATTTTTTTTATGACACTCCTATTTTATTTTCGTCAATTTGTAAAGTAATTATTTTAAATACAATAAAAAAAATCTTATTGTCTTAAATATGTTGAGAGACAAACTTTTTACTGTATTAAAGAGTTATAAATGATTTATGGATTGGAGGTGCCATTACAAAAAATAAGTCAGTGATTTTTATGAAATGATTTAAGAGAAGTAGTTTTAATACAAAAAAATAGGGCACTGTTACACAACAGCGATAGGAATAATATAGTAAATTGATTTGTGCAAATATCTTTTATTAAAATGACAAAGATTAGGTCACACAAGTAAACAATAATCATAACAATACTTTATCCTTTCTAAATTTCAATCAGGTTGGAAGTTTTTAGATGCTTGACCAAATTTCTTGTGAAATTTTTGAAGTTGCATTAATGCTGTCTCTGCCTGCATACAACTTTCGTGCACCCTGCCTAGGTATTTGTAATTCTATATCTGGTGGTGGCTCAACAGCTGAAGATGAAGGAGTTGGTTCTGAGAATCAAAAAGCTTTTAATTAATATCTGAAGTTATGAAGCAATACCAAGTAGAAACTGAATTCATATGCAATTTTTCATTCTAAAACAAGATCATCACTAGTGAAAAATGAAAATAAAAATTTGTATTTTTTCCATTTGAAGCAGAACTTTGTACTTGTGATCAAGTGTTAGAAGATGATGTGCCAGGAAGTAAAATCAAATTAAATGTGGTTTAACTAAGTGGGCAATAGAGATAGAGAATATAAACTGATTTTTCATTAATTAAAATTAATCCCATTTAAATTTATCCAGGAGTTATTTACTTACACTTAATGGAATTTGAAGTTCAGTATCTTCAAATACTGCTGCTGTTCCCAATATGGCCATATCTAATTCAGATAAGTTATCAATATTAGCACCCTCCACCAGTACCTGTAGCATCCTGCCTATATTTTGCAGCTCTAGATTGTATCCTATGTTTAAGGTCTATCCAATACTGTAAAAAAGTATTATTGTATTAGTACATGAATAAAACCATATGGAACATGGAACAAAATGCCTTATTATAACCTACAGTACTAATCCAAGAAAATGACCCATGGAATCTGTGTAAACTATGTTGGCAAATATTAAAAGATGGTAGCAACTATTTGGAAAAATACAAATACATTGAATCAAATAAACTATTTTCTACCCGTAGAGTACAAAACAGTTTCATATAAAGTCTCATCTAATAAGAATTGAATTACTGAAAAAATGGATAAACGCCATCGTTTCTGAAGTTACTTAAATAAAAAAAAAGTTTTGGATAGAATATTGTGAAAACGTAGTCTTTGGGAACAATTGTGCTATTACACTGTTAAAGATAATTTTCTATTAATCAACATTGCATTTTTTCTTCTATGAAAAGTTCTACAACTTTTTTGAATTTATCTAATGAAAAAAGAGATACAACAGAATAATGACCATAGCAAAAGGTTGTAATCTTATAATGAAAAATAAGATTCAGCACAATTATAAAAATTATGAATTAGCGATGACAAAAGGATGAATAACAAAATGTAACATAAACTCACCCTTCTCCAACATTGTCCATTTTTTGTAGCTCCAGATCCATGAGTATTCAGACATATCGCTAATTTGTCCTACTTTCTATTAATTGTCTCCTTTGATCTCCCTCCAAGCTCAACACTGTCCTTAGCTAAATTAGGATGAATTTCTGCTAAGACAAGTACCTGATCGATTTGCAATGTTGAGATTATATTTCATTTTGAAAATTAACACAAACACCTCCTAGTCAGACAAAATCTCAAACACAAATAAACACTATGTTCACGTTTTCTGATGCATTTGCAGCCTTTAATGCAGTCATCTAGAACTATATAGGTAAGTGCCAGCAAGTGCTGATTGATTTAGAGCAGGGCTGTCCAACTTAATCTGGCCCAAGGGCTACTTAAAAAAAAATGCAGTTTGGAGGGCCGCATTATAAAATCTTTCTATACAACATTATTACTGCGTTTTAATAGGTATATACTGTACTATATGGTATACATATATGAATACATGAAGCGGGCTGCAAGAAAGGAGTTCGAGCCGTATGTTGGACAGCCCTGATTTAGAGAAACATCTGGCACTTGTCAATAAGCTGTTTTCACCCTTGCGTTATTTTGCATCGCTCTTTCTGTCTTGAGATAAGTCTTCAAGGCTAATCTATGTGAAACTGTGTCATGTATTTGTATATATTAAGTGTGTATCAAGGGGTCACTCTTGACTTATGAAAACATACACACATCTGCGGCTCACACAGACATTCATTTTTAAGAACAGACCATCGTATTATATACTTACGTGTTCAATTTTCAACAAAACTAGGTCCCATAGTTAATTTTAAATTCACAATCACGATCCACAATGTATTTATTTATTTTTCGATTTATAAACACGACGATTGTTTATCATATGTATGTCACTTTAGTTCCACCGGTTGCTACTCGATTGCTAGTGGCGCTGTTCGGTCGCAAAAACTGCATTCAAATTGCATTCAATGACAGTTGGGCAACCGGTTGCCAACTGCGTTAGCGAATACGAATTTTTCGGTCGGTCGACAATCGGTCGCAAGTCGGTTGGTGGTCGGTTGCTCACCGATCAGAGTTGGAAATTTTTACGTAATAAGCCTGCGGCACGCTGTTGGTCATGCTTGATTTTTACAGGGCTTTCGATACTGTGAATCATGAGATTCTTTTGAATAAGCTAAAATATTATGGCATTCGGAGGTTCCTTTGAATTTCTTCAGATCGTACCTAACTGATCGCACCCAAAGAGTGAAAACATGTAGAGGAACTTCTGATGCACGGTATCTTTCATCAGGAGATCCACAGGGTTCAGTACCGGGACCTCTTTTATTCCTAGTATACACATTCGATCTGCATAAGTGTGTAGAACATAGTTGCATTCAAATGTATGCTGACGATACACAACTAACATTTCGTTTCAATAAAACCAACTTACACGAAGCATCGTATAAAATTAACCTAGATCTTGATAACGTATTAACGTATTGTAATAGACACTGTATCCGCATCAATCCATCAAAATGTACCGCGATACCATACTGTCCTAAACATTCAAATTACAATATCACAAATCGAGTTTCCTTATTTATCAACGAGATTAGTATTCCATTTTTTGATAAGTTATATTTGATTCAAATCTTAGATTTAACTTACATGTGAATAGTATTATGAAGTCGAGTCATGTGAAGCTGAAGCTTTTATACTCTAGTCGCCATATTCTAAACTTTAAGTGCCGTAAAAAGTTGTGTGAAAGCTTCATATTATCAATTTTAGTTTACCCTCATTTACCCATGCCTAGACTCAGTTTGCAAGTCAAAAGTGCAGAAGCTTCAGATTTGGAGTTAGGAAGTACAGTAGCCTTTCTTCAAAAATCAAGGAGCTACAGTGACTCAGAGTTGATGGCTTATACAACTATTCCATGGCCTCATTGGTGCATAGAATTTTTAAAACTGGTAAACCCTTCTATTTACTCGGTAAGTTGATTCCTCGTGGAAACCAAATTACTCTAAATCTGCGGCACAGTGATCTACTTTCCATTCCTATACATCGTACGTCGGTCTGTGAAAGGTCTTTTACTTATAATGCGGTCAAGGTATACAATTCTTTACCAGCTATCTCTAAGAGCTACAGTTTGCAGCTCTTCAAAGACAGACAGTCAAGTTGAACTTTCTGGACTCAGCACATTAAGTGATAAATTCATTTTGCTGAACGATATCTTGTTCTATTGTTTCTCTTCTTTGTATATGTTCATATTATGTATTTACTCCTTTTTAATGCATTCCTTACAGCTAATGATTCATGTTGTTATGCTAATGTTTTGTGATGTCTGGTTGTAGTATGCTTGAGTGGTAGAGAAGCCATGGCTAAACTTCTCCATACTATGATCGTTTTCTGAATAAAAACATTGCTATTATTATTATTATTATTAATATAAAACTGCTGGCTCTGGATGCAATTAAATTACAAGTTTCTAAAGAGCTTTTAAACAACAATTATATTGACATAGTTTTTTGTATTCTGTGTTAAAACATAAAATACGAATGTATAGGTACAATGATTCGTCTTATAGATACCTACGAGTTAAGCGGTAGATTGTCAAACTGGGTAAACTCCGCCCTGCGGTGTGGATGAGACAATAATGGCATTATTATCATTTTTATTAATAATATTAAATACAAAAGAATTGGGCAAACTACAACACACTTCCTAATTAATTATCTGATGGTTGCGAATTCAGGAGTTCCTGGCGAGCTATTAGATTGGATGGTTCAGCAGAAAGCAGTAGGGCTAACGTATCGCTCAAAAATGGCTTGCTTTTTTTCTTCGGTACTAGCCTCATACCAAATTGAACGGAGCAGCAATCCACATAAGATATCTATGTAACAAGATTTTCTGTAAAATTTCCAAGTGAAATCTGTTCAGTATAGCCTGAAATACTGCTTAAATTCCGACCATCTGCAGGTTCTTGAGGATCTGTCCAATGGGAAGGAGTACACTTTCTATCACACAAATTTTACGGACAATCGGAGTCATAGAATACAGTACAGCTTTTAATAAATAATATTTAAACTTGTTAGCTTTATGCCGTTTTCGCTGAAAGTTTAGCTTAGGCTTGGAAAATGCACAGTAAGTTATTTTCACAAGGCTACTTACTTATGATCGCATGACCTCAAACATCAAAAAGCACACTGCTGTCTAAAATAGAGGTTGCTGTTTGAATTTACAAACATTACCCTAAAATGATCTCTAAGGTCATTGCTCAGATGATATACTAAGTGACATATAAATCCGAACACCCAGTTTAAATGGTTTTATTTTAATAAAAGTTGGTGAATGTATTTATCTTACTGTAAATAACAAGTGAAAAAATGTTCAGCCTTATCAGTTGGACATTCCGGTTTTTATACTGTTTTTTTTTTAATTCACTATCGCTTTAAAAATGAATATTTCAGCCGCAGTAAAGAATCAACGTTGGCGGATTTTGGTTCTTGACATCCTTTACGATCGGTTACGATGCCTAGAGTACGGAGACCTGTACGATTTCGTCAACTTAGGGAGTTTGATAGGGGCCGTATAGTGGGACTTCGGAAAGCTGGACTTTCTTTTCGGGCAATTGCAGTTAGGTATTGTCAGGCATGGCTTCGAGAAGGCCGTACGCAAAGAGCAAGGGGCACTGGACGCCGCCGTAGAACAACAGACCTGGAAGATCGCCGCCTAAGACTATTGGCCTTAAGGGACCGTTTCTCCACTACCAGGTCCATTGCAAATGAATGGTTTGCAGAACACGGAAGACCTATTGCATGCGAAGTGTTTACCGACGAATGAGAAGTTTTGGCTTGTTTTCATACCGGCCACACTGGGTCCTTTAACTCGAGAACACCGACGTAATCGCCTTGAGTGGTGCAGACAACGGTCACTCTGGGATCAGGAATAGAACAGTATTGTCTTTAGTGACGAGTCTCGATTTTGCTTAGGCATGCACAATGGTCGTGCCAGGGTTAGAAGGCGACGTGGTGAAAGGAGGAATCCACAGTTTTTTGTTGAAAGACATGTTCATCACACTGTTGGAGTTATGGTTTGGGGTGCTATAGCTTATGGTTCCAGGTCACCTTTAATCTTCATCAGAGGTAACATGAACGCGCAGCGTTATATCCACGAAGTTCTAGATGCCCATCTTTTACCCTATCTTGACACCCTGACAGATCCAACTTTCCAACATGTTGCAAGAGTAACAATAGACTCCTTTCAACATAATGATGTCACATTGTTACCATGGCCACCAAGATCTCCCGACTTATCCCCAATTGAGCACGTGTGGGATATGATGGGTAGGAGATTGCTCAATTTGCAACGTCCTCCTCAGACTCTAGAAGCACTTCGAGAGGCGTTGGTGGTTGCTTGGAATGAGATACCACAGGAGGACATTGACCACCTGATCAGAAGCATGCCTAGGCGCGTTGGAGAATGCGTAGCACATCAGGGTGCATCCACACATTATTAAAGGTCAAAGGGCTTTAAAGCAGTGCAATCAGTTTGAAATTTTTATCATTTACTTATTATGCTTCATTAACTACTTATACAAAATTTTAATAAAATAAAACCATTTAAACTGGGTGTTCGGATTTATATGTCACTTAGTATATTTGAGGTATATAACAAATTGCATGTTATATACCTTGAAACTGCACGTTGAGCCTTTTTTCAAAAAATGCGTGATTGCAGAGTTTTCTTGTTGTTACGGTATTTAAGAATGTAAAGAATGTCTCTGACATGACATAACCACTTACTGTGTGTCACATGGGCTTACTTTCCGCTACATCACCGTTAACCTCTGCTTGACGACCATTTACACGATTTGCTGTCCAATGGTGTTAACAACGGGCTTATTTTAGGTTTTTGTCAACATTGTCTAACTGACTTGGCGTCTGGATCATTAATGCCTAGGTTATTGTCATTGCTCGTAACTTATGCGTATTTTAATTTATTTTAGAATTATCCTTGATTTCCACCTGTGGTGATAAAATCAGCTCATCCTGAGTTGCTGCCACAAAAAGTAACAAATACCATTAAGCAAAACAAATTATCACTCCCTGCGTGTACACAGGTGAAAACCATTTCGAAGCAGGACGACACTCGCCCAACGAGCACTAGATGGGTACTGACCAAAATCGCTCATCTATGATCATCGAGGTGGCCACCTTGCCTTGAAATGTATGAGTTGACAAGCGAACCAATTATGCAATGAGCCGTATTCATAAAAGAGAAGCATATCCTCGGAAGCATAAGATAAAAATATAAGGCGCGGCCTCGGAGAAAAAGGTAGAAGTATAAGCATATCCTTGTTTTCAGATTCATAATGATTACCTCGTACTCGCGAGGATATCCTCCAAGAAGATGCAAAAGGTTGACTGGTATTTGTATCTTGAGCGACATGTCTTGACTTGTTCCATCTTGCAGTTGGCATGGGGGTTCGTTCACTCAACATCACTGACAGTTGTCCTCTAGAGCTTACACAAACCGTTCCGTATTTTTACTGGATACAGTTTTTATTCAAATTAATACGCATGTCATCCTCAAGTGATGAGGAAGCTATAGAAAATAATGGCAATGACCTGCAGTTCATCGCAGATGAAATTGCCATTGCTCTCATTATTTTGCAAAAGTCACAAGTTCCAAAAATAAAAATGAGAAAGGACGTTGCCTTGCAGAAGATGTTGAAAACATACGAATCAACATTGGGTAAACCAGTAGATACTAAAGGCTTATTACAAAAAATCAACAACATGAAATCACGATTGAAAAAAAGCAGATCTAAAAAAAACTCGTAATAAAGCAATCAAAGTGTTAGATTGGAAATGAAAGTTGCTGAAAGCTATGGAAGGTGACTGTAATCCTACAATTGGGCAAATTATAGGTGCCATTCAGGATCGTCCAAGCTCTTCGCAACATTATGGAGTACACTACAAGCAATAATTATTTTCGGCACATTTTCCAACTTTACGCGGCAAACATACTGTAGGATAGGAAACCGGCGTTTCAGTTGGTCGAAACAGCGTTCAATTATAACTCTTTCTTGTTTTAAAAGCTTATTATAATTTATCTCTGCACCTGGAGTAGGATTTCTGAAGGGAGTCATAAGGCATGGCTGAATACCATAACCGTCATCGCCAAGTAGTACAACATTTACTTTATTTATTATTTGTGATCTAGTCTGTGAATTTCTCCATATTCTGGAATCATGCACTGATCCAGGCCAACTGACATCAACACTTGTGAACATCTCTCTGGCATCACAAGTGACTTGCACATTTAAGGTAGGTTTCCCTTTTCGGTTGATATACTCATCTCCATGGCGATTAGGTTCCAGGATTCCTATAAGTGTACAATCAATTACACCAATTGCTGTCGGATATTTATACATGCTTTGCCATATCCGCTTGGCCTCCATCAGTTCATGGTTGGTAGTTGGAAACTTGATCGATTGGTTCGACTGTGCAAATATGCTGTTCACAACTCTATCCACAGTCCGAGATACCGTTGCTTGACTAACACCAAGTTCCTGAACAATACCTTGTTGATATCCAGGGTCACCGGGATAGCGTAGACATATCTTCATTTTATAAATACATGAAAGTGCTCCTCCTCGAGCTTCCTCATTCTCAACTAAAAATCTGTCCGCAAGCCATTGTACATTTGCTTCATGGAACCGATATAATTTTTTGAAGTCACGACCAAGTGAAGGTAAACGAGGTTTGTACGTTTTAACGTCAATAGCATCCACAATTTCCGCCATCATCGTTTGACCACCTTTCGTTACGAAGTTGAGTCTGCCTCTGACCACACTCAGAATTTTTGAAGGATATGCTTCCTATGCCAAGTATAAGGTGAAGATTATGAATATCCTTTTACTTATGTCACTGATTTGAAGGATATGCTTATACTCAAAAAGCAAAAGCATTTATTTTAAATTATTATAAATACCATCTGGAGGATTTCCTCCAAAATTTGCAAGGACATTTGTTTTATGAATACGGCTCAATGTTGCAGAATTTGTGGCGTACCTAAATTTTCATTTCTACCTAAAACGGAGTGTCGCTAGTACCGATCCGGAATCGATCCTAAACAGACTTGACACAATTCAGAAATGTGTACGCTAGAAATAAAACCATTATTTGGGCGTAGATAATAAACTAACGCACATTGTCAACATGCATCTTAATTCAAGGAACGAATGTAACAAAATGGCTGCCTCATTGTGCTGCTAGGCAACGCGGTGATGAGCTTCGCTATCTAGCCGGCTTCTATCTCTTTTTAGCATATGTGTCTATACGCACTTCTCTCTCGTACACATTGAACTCAATCCGACAGAAAAAAATAGATCTCATTGTGTAAAACGTTATAGCGACGAAAATGTGTTCCATACTCTTAGCATACCCAAACTACATGACAGTTTTCATAACGTTTGTTTCACCTGCTCCAAAAAACATAAGACGCTCGATCCAAAGAACGTGTCTGCGATAAAAAAAAACTTTTTGTTCGCGTTATTTCATATCGATGTATTGCGGCATATTTGAATAGAAAGGCACGTGGGTCGTGTTCACAGAAGAACGGTGCGGCGAAATTACGGGAAAAATATTCTCGATATACATCTCAAGAAAAATGAGTTATCCCTTTTCCATCTACTGGAGTACATGACGGATGGAATTTCAATTTTCCATAAAGGGTGTCATTAAAATGTAAAACATACACATAAATTTGAAGAGCATTTAGACAGCAACGCAGATTTCGGTCTCAGGCGAGCATTTTGAAAGTATAATTTAATACCGGGATTTTACGTTGCCTAAGATAAACTGAATAGATGCATCTCTAAAGCAGGTTATGAATTTTTGCAGTGCATTGTGATACACTGGAATGTCGCATATCCTTAAAAGTGACAGTATGTCATTGTTTACAACATATAAGTTTGTAGGTATGTAGGTTTTTAAACAAGATGTCAAGTGTGTACTCGTTTCGTAGCTGTACGTGTTGCCTAAGCGTCATGGTGTTCCAGCTATCAATGTTTGGCTCTGATGTGATGTAACATCTGCTTCAGAGATGGTATTATGGGAGGTCTAAGTTGTGAGTTGTTTACCATAGTTGATGATAGTCCATTGGTTTCTTGTCTCAAGTACACTTACTTGAAAGTATGCAAAGCTTAAAATTAGTTGCGTATCTGCTTCTTCTCATTCTACCTAAAAATCGCATATGTATTCGTAAATTGTATGAACTACAAAAAAAGAGAGCGATACGAAAAGAAAATCGCTGGTTGTTGAAGTGTATTAAAACTAACAAGTGAGCAAATATGATACATACATGAATATTTATGAAACGTAAAAAAGTTATTCCATTTCACATCAATTTTTATTTCCAGCCATTTAAATTTTTATAGAAATTTATTTTACGATGTCGAGCAGAAAATACAAATCAGCGTCATAAGTCGATTTCACTATTCAAACCGGTATAAAATTCTGATGAAATATTTCGAGAACTCACATTAACATCAGCTTAGAAACTAAATGTGATGCAAACAAACCTTTTTATAATTTTGCATTGCTCTCAATAAAAAAGTAAAAACTTTTACGTCAACTCAAGGTTCCGGGTCTTAATAACATTGTATCGTCTTGGTTGAGTTTTGATGTGTGTGGTCCTGGTTGTATATTCGTTTTTTTTTCTCATTGCTACGAATATCTCTAAATTTATTAATCCTTTCGTCCTTATATCAACATTGCCCAGTCCTTCTTGGCCATTAACGTCAATCACGTTAAAATGGTGTTATTAAAAGAGGCCACCCACAGTGGGCGTTCACATAATGTCCCCCTATACTTTGATTTTTTGAACGGATGAATTCAAATAATTAAAACTTGAGGTAATGAAACTGATGCGTGGATAACATATTTTCGAGTTAAATTAACAAATCTAAATTGCAAGATGGCCGCCACGTATCCCCCTAAAGCCCCACGGTACGCAATGGGTGCTTAGGCCTTTGTGGTAGTTGGAGTATAAAAAAAAAGTATTTTTAGTAGGTAAAGGTATTGAGTTCAGATTCTAGGGCTATAAAGTACTCGTCAGGGGCTTCAAAATGATGTGCCACGAAGCTCCCGTTTTCATATATTTTTTTCCAAGATGGCGCACAACGGCCATCTTGAAATTTTGATTTGTCAATTTTACTCGAAAATATGGTATCCACGCATCCATTTCATTACCTCGAATTTTAATTTTATTAATTGATCCGTTCAGAAAATCGAAGGAGATGGGGCCATTAAAGAAAAGCGCTGTATGTATGGCCAAACATCAAAAGTGCTCGAGATTCTTCAATTTTCTTGAGATTTCAGCAATCAGTTGTTTATACTTAATTCATTAATAAAAGGTGCAAATATACTACACGCAGTAAAATAACAGCTACTCCGGAAAATAAATGAGTTTTTGCTTCCTGCTTCACTTAGCTCTAAAATTTGCTTGTACATTGAGCGTGCAAATTTCTAGAATCACTTGCCCGCATAGTCGGATTTCAAAGAAGGTATTAGCGCATAACTCTTAACAATCAGCCAATCAAAACAAGTTAGGTCGAATAACAGTTCGTCAACTAAATGATATCTTTCATAAGTAACTCGAAAGAGTATATTAATTTTACTCAATTGGAATTTCTTAGCTATGAATAGATATTCAACTTTTAGCAACTGTTTTTGTCACCTCTGTGATAGACCATGCTATCACAAACACTCTCATAGGGGCAGTTATTAGACTTCAGAGGATTTGTTATACAAGAGTAACATCATTGGTAAGACTACTTTTTCCAGATACTGTGCAGACAGACCTCTAGGGTCTATTCACCCTTAGGCGTGACGTGACAGTACCGTGACGTGCCAGTGATTCCCAGTGATTCTCGCTGACGTGAAATCACAGTGTTGTCGATTCATCCTGGTCCGTATTTTTCTCTGTGCTCTGACAGTGCAGTTATGTTCACGTGAGGTCGAGATGGCAAAATTTTCAGATAATGAACTTGCAGTTGTTGCATTAATTCTGGATTTTATTTTTATACTCAAACTACTACGAAGGCGTAAGGCCTAAACACCAATGGGGTACCATGGTGTTAAACGGGTGTCGCCACACGGAATATGGTGAGGGAACACGTGGGCATGGAACATGCACACATTCTGGCCCCGCCAACGATATCCGCCGGGTGGTACCTCCGCGTTCGACAGCTAGAGACCGTCTACCACCTACGTAAGATGAAGAAGAAGAAACGAGAAGAAAACGGGAGTACGAGCCCCTTCCCACTTCAGTTGGCCCAACTATTGAAATCTTAGTTTTTTTCTTATCAAACACAAATAATAAAAATGTAGCAAGGTGTTATAGGTATAAAATATTAGCAATGAATTTTTTTTTATAATATATCGTAGAGAACACCAACTTTATCACTCCCTAATCAAATTTGCAGCATAAAAATAACACATGTTGCAATTACAGCATATCAACCTATTTTCATTTCAATGCAAAATAAGTCTATAACGCATAGGTGGCTGTGAAAAAAAAGCCATGACAATTGTTTTTATTAATCACAGCTCTCAGAATACGTTTATAATAGTTTTGGGTAGTTAAGGTTTTCAAAATGGGTAGAGGAAAATTCGGTTACTGATAATTAAATTTTGTAATTCTGGGAAATCAAACTCAGAAAATCCAACTTTGTTAGACTTATGGCGGTACAGTGTGAGAAATATTGTTAGAAGATATAACGTAACTGGTTTGGTTAATATTAAGCAACGATATGTGAAAAAAAGTAATATCACAAATGCCGATCGAAGAGCATTAAGAAGAATAATCGTCAAAAACAGGCGTGCCAATTATTTACAATTAAGTGCTCTGTGGAGTGACGCTGTTGGAAGGAGAATTACGAGGTCCACAACTCATAGAGAGGCCCACAAACTAGGATTTAGCACTTGCAAGGTAAGTTTTCTTATAAAAAAAAAAGTGAAGTAAAAACCCTAAAGTTGCACAACTTGTTTATAGGCCAAAGAAAAGCCACTATTAACTCGACTGCAAAAGAAAACTCGCCTTAGATGGGCTAAAGAACATGAACAGATAATGGACACCTCAACAATGGTGTGCAATACAATGGAGTGATGAGGCCCGATTCGAAGTTTGTGTTGGTGACAGTCGCAGTAGAGTTATTCGCAAAAAAATGAAGAATTCCATGTTGACTGTCTGAAGAGAGAAGTGAAATTTCCAGCATCCATTATGATCTGGGGCGGTATGTCATCTTAAGGAGTAGGAAAAC